ATGGATATTTTTTCAGGTATGTGTTTTGTTTCTACAACAGTTCTCCATTTAGATATCATTCACGTACCATAAATTCACCCATTTAGAACAGCAGTTCAACAATTTTTAGTATATTCACAAAATTGTGCAACCACTGCTGCAATCAATTTTAGAATTTTTTTTTTTTTTTTTTTTTTTGAGACCAAGTCATGTTGCCCATACTGGAGTGCAGTGGCCTGATCTCCTCGGCTCACTGCAACCTCCACCTCCTAGGCTCAAAACATTCTCCTGCCTCAGCCTCCCAAGTAGCTGGGATTACAGTTTTGCCCACAACATCCAGCTAATTTTTGTATTTGTGGTGGAGATGGAGTTTCACCATTTGGCTAGACTGGTCTTGGACTCCTGGCCTCAAGTGATCCATCCGCCTTGGCCTCCCAAAATGCTGGGATTACAGATGTGAGCCACTGCATCTGACCTAGAACATTTTTATCATTCCTAAAAGGAACCCCGTATCCTTTAGCTGTCAACCCCCAAGCTCCCCACACCCCCAGGCACTGGCAACCACTACTTTCCATCTCTATAGATTTACCCATTCTGGACATTTCATAAAAATGGATCATATAATATGTGGTGTTTTGTGACTGACTTCTTTCACTTAGCATAATGGTGTCCAGGTTCATCTATGTTGTAGATGAAGTACTGAATGTATCAGTACTTCATTTCTTTTTAAGGCCAAATAATATTCTATTGTGTGGATATACCACATTTTGTTCATTCATCAGTTGATGGACATTTGGGTTGTTTACAGAAACAGCTGTTATGAATAATGCTGCTATAAGCATTTGTGTACAGGTTTTTGTGTGGACATATGTTCGCATCTCTCTTGAGTATAGACCTAGAAGGGGCAATGTTGAGTTAAATGAGATAGGTATTTTTAAGCCAGGCAAAGTGGCTCACTCCCATAATTCCAGCCCTTTGGGAGGCCGAGGCAGGCAGACCACTTGAGTTCGAGACCAGCCTGGCCAACATGGTGAAACCCCATCTCTACTAAAATACAAAACTTAGCTGGGCATAGTCGCCTGCACCTGTAGTCCTAGCTACTTGGGAGGCTGAGGCAGGAGAATTGCTTGAACTCGCGAGGTGGAGGTTGCAGTGAGCCAAGATCACAACACTGCGTAGCCCAGGCGACAGAGCAAGACTCAGTCTCAAAAAAACCAAAAACCAAAAAACAAAAAACAAAAAAAGAAAAAAGAAAAGAAAGAAGGAAAGAAAGACATATTTTTATCTCATCTCCCTTCTAGATTACAAACATTCCTAGGGCAGGGTTTGAGTCATTCCATCCTGGCCCAGTGCTATGCACATTGGTATTTATTAAATATTTACTGACTGGGATGAATCAATGGATGACATTTTCAATTATAACATATAACATGGTAGGGAGTTGCAGGACTAGACAGGCATCATGAAGACAATAAATCTTTTTTTTACAAAAGCAAGAAACTCAGATCATGAACAATCTTAACACTGGCAAGTAAAATTGCAAAATATACATCTCAGAACCTAAGCTCCCCTTCTGTAAAATGAGAGCAACCATATTTTATAGTGCTGTTGTATGAAAAATTGTGTTCTATCTGAGAAGGCCTCAAACAGACCTGGCACACGTAGTAAGCACTCAATCAACGCTATGTAGCCAGTTAAATTCAATATGGTCCCTCATCCACAAACCAATCCAGCATTTGGCCTTTTGTGAAATATTGTTTAGCTTTCACCTTGAAAAGCCTGAGTTTTCATCTCACCTTCAGCTCTGTCTTTTGCGGTTCAACGAGAGATTTTTATACTTGTGTCTATATTCATGATATCAAAGCAAGTAATTTAATAATTGCAAAAGAGGTGACTGATCTAGTGAATCTTGCTCTCAGGGTAAGAATCAGAAGTGCCAGCCAGGCGCGGTGGCTCATGCCTGTAATCCCAGCACTTTGGGAGGCTGAGGCGCGTGGATACGAGGTCGGGAGATGGAGACGATCCTGGCTAACACGGTGAAACCCCAACTCTACTAAAAATACAAAAAGATTCATGCCTGTAATCCCAGCACTTTGGGAGGCCAAGGCGGGCGGATCAGGAGGTCAGGAGATCCAGACCATCCTGGCTAACAAGGTGAAACCCATCTCTACTAAAAATACAAAAAATTAGCCGGGGTTGGTGGTGGGTGCCTGTAGTCCCAGCTACTCGGGAGGCTGAGGCAGAAGAATGGGGAATGGCGTGAACCGAGGGGGCGGAGTTTGCAGTGAGCCGAGACTGCACCACTGCACTCCAGCCTGGGCAACACAGTGAGACTCCGTCTCAAAAATAAAAATAAAAATAAAAAATAAAAATACAAAAAGATTAGCCAGGTATGGTGGCAGGCACCTGTAGTCCCAGCTACTTGGGAGGCTGAGGCAGTAGAATGGCGTGAATCCGGGAGGCGGAGCTTGCAGTGAACCGAGATCACAGCACTGCTTGCCAGCCTGGGCAACAGAGCAAGACTCCCTCTCAAAAAAACAATAATAATAAAAAATAAAATAAAAGAAAGAAAGAAAAAGAATCAGAAGTGACATCCCACTAACTCTGCTAGGCAACACTCCATATCTCTGATCAGATGTGTTCATGAGGCTACATATTCTTCAAATTTGTGGAATTAGACTTCTGCCCTTAAGTGGGGGCATAATTAATCTTTTTAAAACTTAGTTTGTCTGTTGTTTAGATATCAGACAGACTCAATCTGTCTACCTCTTTTCAGAGTCTGGTTCTTGAGATCATATGTTTATTTTAATATAATGTTTAAATATATTAGACTATAAAATAGACATCTAACTATATATTTTTAATGGTGGGTTAAAATTTGTTGATTAGGATTATCTCCACATTACATTGAGTTTGAAATGATAGACTATCTAAATTTCAGAATATAAATGCATTTCAATTACTTTCAAGTTTAGGTACAAAACTTAAGCCAGAACAGAAAAACATCACCTAGGGTCAGTCTTGGTTCACTGACTAGATAAAAATTATGTGTAATCAGTACATCAACTCAACAATCTAGAAATTGCTAGCCTTAGTCTGTTATACATACAGTATAATTTTTGTAAATGAAAGATACTCCTAAAACATTTGAAACTTTCTAACACGATGAATTGGCAATTTTTATTTCTTTTCTTTTTTTCTTTCTTTCTTTTTTTTTTTTTTGAGATGGGGTCTTGCTCTGCTGCTCAGGCTAGAGTGCAATGGTACAATCATAGCTCATTGCAGTCTCGATCTCCCAGGCTCAAGTGATCCTCCTGCCTCTCAGCCTGCCAAGTAGCTGGGGGTACAGGCACCACCACACTGGCTAATTTATTTTATTTTATTTTTGTAGAGACAGGGCTTCCCTAGGTTGCTCAGGCTTGTCCTGAACTCCTGGACTCAAGTGATCCTCCTGCCTTGGCCTCCGAAAGTGCTGGGATTACAGGCATGAGCCACTGCACCTGGCCTAACAAATTATTTTTTCTTACAATCTTACTTGCACTATGAATGTGCAAGTAATGATAATAATAGTAATAATAACAATAGCTGGTAAAAGATTGCAGTGCAGGCCAGGTGCTGTGGCTTATGCCTATAATCCCAGCACTTTGGGAGGCCAAGGTGGGCGGATCACCTGAGGTCAGGAGTTCGAAACCAACCTGGCCAACATGGCTTCTAATACATAGAACAGAGGAGATATTCTCATTTCCTGCTTGTGAACAAATTCCCAATTAACACCATGAAAACTACTGAGTTTTGTTGCAGGGGTCAAAAGTACCCTAAAGGTTCCCAATTTGTGGTGGCATTTGACAGTTCACAGACATGCTACCCCCTGGGCAGTTACCAACAACTGAATCTTATGATTAGCCTCTCAGCCCGGTTACTTCCACCCAATCACCTCCACAAATCACAACCAGGGGTCTTCCAGGCTTATCCCTGGGGTGGGGAGTGGGGGTGGGGAGTAGAGGAGATAGAGTTTGTAATTTGAAATGGGACCCCATTTGAAAAAGGTAGCCAATTCCTGTGTGACCATTATAGAAAGACCTAGAACTAAGAGACACCCTTGAAGACCGTCATGACCCATTACCCCTCTTTACCACACAGGATGCACACTGTGCTGTGGGGAACACAATCACACAGACAAGGCTGAGTGAGGCAGCACGCTACCGCCCACAGTCTAAGAACAAGAACACGCGCATTGCAATCTTTTTTTCTTTTTTTTTTTTTTTTTTGAGACGGAGTCTCACTCTATCACCCAGGTTGGAGTGCAGTGGCGTGATCTAGGCTCACTGCAACCTCCGCATCTATGGTTCAAGAGATTCTTGTGCCTCAGCCTCCCGAGTAGCTGGGATTACAGATGCCCACCACCACACCTGGCTAATTTTTGTATTTTTAGTGGAGACGGGGTTTCCCATGTTGGCCAGACTGGTTTTGAATTCCTGACCTCAGGTGATCCTCCCACCTTGGCCTCCCAAAGTGCTGGGGGATTACAGGCATGAGCCACAGCACCCCACCAGCACTGTAATATTTGACCAGCTATTGTTATTATTACTATTATTATCATTAGAGACAGGATCTCACTCTGTTGCCCAGGCTGGATTGCCATGGCTCAATCATAGCTCACTGTAGCCTCCAACTCCTGGGCTCAAGTAGTTGGGACTACAGACACAAGCTACTGTGCCAGGCTAATTTTAAAATGTTATGTAGAGACAGGGTCTCACTATGTTGCCCAGGCTGGTCTCAACCTCCTAAGCTCAAGCAATTCTCCTGCCTCAGCCTTCCAAAGGGCGGGGATTATGGGCGCAAACCACTGTGCCCAGTCCAACCAGCTGTTATTACTATTTTTCAGTTAGAAGGAGAAAAAACAAAAAACAGAGGGATGTGGGTGTGTATGTTTCTTGGAATCCAAGCGATCGGGGGGGAAAAATCCGTCAAAAATGTTCTCAGTACAAAAGTTGGCAAAACAACTCTCTTTTTTTAAACTGAACTTTGTAATAGGAGAAATACTCTCACAAGGAGAGGATGTTTCTGAGCCAAGTTGAAGCAAAAGAAACTTTTTCCAGCATGTCAGGAACGAAGCTGACGTTCCATTAAGAAAAAAAAAAAAGAAGAAGAAGAAGAAGAAGAAGTGCTAGAGGAAGGAGTAAGAGGGGAAAAGGCACCAGAATTCAGACGTAGCTTTAAATTCCAGACAGGGCCAGCGTCGGGAGCACGTAGGAAGCGCCCCTCGGAAAGGAGCCGGAGCCCCGGCTGACTTCGCACTTGAGCTCCAGCCCCGTGGACATTTCCTGTTCTGCCTCTGGAAATTCAAGCTGAAAGTTACAAAACATCCTTTTCCCTGGAACCAAGTGCTTGGTTGGGAGACCATGCCCTCCCCTTCCTTCCTCGGAACTCCTCCCTGATCGCCCCGCGGCTTCCCCAGGAGAGATGCCAAATCAGCGGTAGCAGGTGGCGCAGAAGGGAGAGGGGAGCGACCCTGGGGATCTCCGCCGAAGAGGTAGGAAACTGGGGACTGCACGTTCCTGAGGCCACTTCACACTTATTGAGCAAAACGAGGTGCTCGTCCTTTAAGCCCGGGGCTGAGGTGTTTCCCTCGCTTGGGTATGCACTGGGTGGTGGGTGGACTGGCCACGAATCTGGAATAAGTTCAGGCATTCCTTTCCCCTCTCTCTTTCCAAGTTGAACTTTAATTCTTGGGTCTCTGGAACCACATATTTTGTTTCGTGTGGGAGGTATTGAAAGGCAGAATTCTAGGAAGTAAATATTGTGAATCCCTGATTTTTCTCTTTTCTTTTCTTTTCCCTTTGCTTCTCTCTTCTCTTTTCTTCTTTTTTCTTTCCGCCCCTGAAATGCCCAGGAGCAGTCATAAATACCTTCATCTGGGAATAGATTCGGGGAGAAGTGAGAAGGGGACAGGGCTGGGAAAGCATTCTCACCACGGTGAGCTGGGCGCGGCTGTTTCCCGGGACCTGGGCCATGTGTTCTTCTGGCCCAGATGCTCCCTCCCTCCTTTCCTTCCACCCATTGCCTTGGAGACAACTACCTTGAGTTGTTTCTCTGGGTGCAGGGATGTGGCACAGACCCTGGTCAGGGCCCTTGAGCATCAGTGCCCTGCGTTTATGGACAGAACCCAGGTGCTGTCTAAAATGTTTCTGTCTGGGGCAAAGCTAACTGGTCTACCCAGTAACCTGCGTGTAGCCCTTGCCTTCGTGAGGCACGGGCTCCCAGCAGTCGGTCTCTGGAAGGCCAGCCTTGGCAATACACGTGCTGACATTGGACCTGCTCAGAGAACTCAGCATGGCTTCTGCATAAGGACGACTCAGCTGAGTTCACGTTTATTATATACATTTGTTTCTCTTAGAAAATGGCTTTTGAACTTAAAAAACATCTTATGTGGCTGGGCACAGTGTCTCACACCTGTAATCCCAGCACTTTGGGAGGCTGAGGTGGGCAGATCACTTGAGGTCAGGAGTTTGAGACTAGCCTGGCCAATATGGTGGAACCCCATCTCTACTATAAATATAAAAATTAGCTGGGCATGGTGGCAGGCACCTGTAATCCCAGCTACTCAGGAGGCTGAGGCAGGAGAATTACCTAAACCCGGGAGGTGGAGGTTACAGTGAGCTGAGATCTCACCACTGCGCTTCAGTCTGGGCAACTGAGCAAGACTCTGTCTCAAAAAAAAAAAGAAAAAAGAAAAAAGAAAAAGAAAAGAAAACATCTTGTGCTCTAAGGACATCCTTGCTCCTGGGAAAGGATGCAGGTCCCCTTTGTGGCGTTCACCGTGGAGCCTAGGGGCACCTCCTCTTCCCACTTCCAACAAAGTAGCTCCATCCTTACCTGACTTTTATGTCGAGGTTCCCAGTTAAAAGCATGCTTTTAAAACAATTTGCAGAACTGCTGACCTGCAATAAGCAGTGCTTTGCCTAGACTGAAAATGACTGCTTATGGAACAAAGGTGATTGACAGAGGGATTTTTAGCTTGCCCCTGTCTAGGCTCTTACTCGATCCTCCCATCTGCCTCCTTTAATGATCGCCTTCTGCCCTGGGGAACCTGCTGGAGGTGGGAGTGCCAACCAGGCTCAGCGAGTGAGCTGTTCCATCTCAGGCACCTGAACTCCTGTGCAGGGACAGACAAGGGGCAGAGCCCCAGAGAGCTGATAATACAACTCGGCCTCTCTCTCCAAGTCTTTTCTGAATTTATCCTTCTAAGTGTGCTCACGGTTATGAACTATGTGATCAATAATTGTAACAGCGAATTATTGATCTTCCTTTACGATATCAGATTACTTACTGAGCCAGGCATGGGACTGAGCACATTACACAGATGAGCTCATGGAATCCTCACAAAGCCCTGTGAGGTAGCTTTTGGCATGACCCCCACTCTGCTGTGTGGAGTGGAAAGGAAGAGCCACTGAGTGACTGGCTTGAGGGCACCCGGCCACTTAATGGTGAAGGTGGGGCTGGGGCCCCTCCCCCTGAGTCTGAGCCACACTGCCTTGAATATTTTTGCAGCCCTGTTTGACAGAAGTAAGAAGGACATTGTTGTGAGTGTGGCTTTTTTGTATTTTGTTCAAGAATGCCCCTGAGAATAGGCTAGGAGGAGCAGGGTCACAGGGCCAGGACGGAATGTTCTGTGGGAAGGAAGAGTGCTCCTAAGAATAAGCGGAGTTAGGATTCTTGTCCAAACTGCATCCCTGATAAACATCATTTTTTTCTCTGAGAGTTGGTATAGTTTTTGTTTGTTTGTTTTATTTTTTAGATACAGGGTCTTGCTGTGTCATCCAGGCTGGAGTACAGTGGCATAATCCTAGCTCACTGCAGCCTCAACCTCCTGGGTGCAAGTGATTCTCCCACCTGAGCCTCCCCAGGAGCTGAAACTACAGGTATGCACCACCATGCCTGGCAATTTTTAAAAATTTTTTATTTTTTGCGTAGAGATGGGGGTCTCCCTATGATGCCCAGGCTGGTCTTGAACTCCTGGTCTCAAGCGATCCTCCTGCCTCAGCTGCCCAAAGTTTCAGGATTACAGGCGTGAGCCGCTGTGCCCTACTGAGGTGGTAAGGTTCAATGGGAAAGTGCCAGGCTCTGTAGCCTGACTGCCTGGGTTCGCATCTCAGCTCTGCCACATTTTAGCTTGGTCATCTTGGGCAAATTATATAAACCTGTGTGCCTCAGTTTCTTCAAAAATAATATCCTCTGGAGAAAGATGATAACAACAGTACCTATTTCACCAAGATATCACAAAGATAAAATTAGTTAATCCACATGAAGCATTTAGAATTGCATCTGGCATATGGTAAACATTCAATAAATATGTTATGTGTAAAAGAGGTTGTTGTGTTAACCCAAGGAAAAGTAGCTTGGGGGCAGTCTGGAAATAAGAAGTAACTGGTATTTGAAACGATAAAATGGACACCAACAAATGCAATGTAATTTCAGTTTGAGCTGGGGAGAGGATTGTGCTTGGACCGCAGCTAGGAAGGACCCAGGGAGACAGCCTAGGACCTTCAGGGAGGAGCTTATCTGTTCTTCCAGAGATAAAACTGAAAACAACAACAACAACAAAAAACTAGTCTTTAGGGTTGACATTGCCAAATCACATCCCTGCATTAAATGAAGTAAGTGTAGGCTGGGCGTGGTGGCTCTTGCCTATAATCCCAGCACTTTGGGAGGCCAAGGCAGGCAGATCACTTGAGGCCAGGAGTTTGAGACCAGCCTGGCCAACATGGTGAAACCCCATCTCTACTAAAAATACAAAAATTACCTGGGTGTGGTGCCAGGTGCCTGTAATCTCAGCTACTCCAGAGGTTGAGGCAGGAGAATTGCTTAAGCCCAGGAGGTGGAGGTTGCAGTGAGCCAAGATTGTACCACTGTAATCCAGCCTGGGTGACAAAGTGAGACTCTGTCTCAAAATAACAAGAAAAGAAAAGAAAAGAAAAGAAAGGAAAGAAAGGGAAAGGAAAGGAAAGGAAAGGAAAATGGTATAAGTGTAATTTATTTAGCTTTGTAGTTGTGGAAATGAGTCCCACCTCTGACCTAATGTTATATAAAGCAAAAATATGGTTTTTTCTTCTCTCTCTCTCTTTTTTTTTAAATCAATGTCATTGGCTGAACCACTTGTATTTTTGGAAGGATGACTTTAGGATTTCCAACTGAGATATGAAATTTAAGAGCTAAATGTAGCTGATTTAAAACAACAACAACAACAACAACAAAAGTAGATCGTGACTTACAAAAGAATTCTGTGGTTTTTTCAAAGAACAAATTTGTGAGCTCGGCCTGAGTCTGGATTACATGTATAATGATCTTGAAACTAGTTTGCCAATTTTTACTTGAAGTAGAAGTAGATGAGAAATAAATCAATGGCTGACATTGACTGAGCACTTACTACGACCCAGGCATTGTGCTAAGTGCTTCCCGTGCATCACCTCATTTGTTTAAGCCTCATGGCCGCCTGTCAGGTGAATACTATTATTATCCCCGGTTTGCAAATAACGATAGCAAGGTTTAGAGAAGGAGATAATATGCACAAAAGCAGATAGCTAGTAAGCGCTGGAGTTGGCATTCTAATTTAGGACTATCTAATTTGGGTATGAGTGTTTAAACCCAACATTATAGTTCTAGTAAATCTAATAATTCCATTTGTGTCTGTTTGAAGAGTATGGCACATAGAAGCTGATAAACAACAGTCATAACTCTTGCAACATGCGCACAGCGCTAGTCTGGGCAAAACACACTTGGGCATTTTGGAGAGCAGAGTTTGGAAGATTCAGAGGGCACGGGACAGGAGATGCACGGCGTCATTGCATCTGAGCAAGGAAACTGTTCCAGGCAGCTCCAGGTGTGGGTAAAATCGTAAAGCAAGTTGCCTTCTTCACCTTTCTCTGTGCTCTCCCAGAGGCTTCCCTGCTCATCCCAGGCAGGGATATCTTTTTCTTTTTTCCAGACATCTCAGTCACGCTCTGACAAGACAGAGACGATCCCAGCTGTGGACTCCCACCAAGCCCCGTTCTGCAATAAATACCCTCCGTCTGTCATACCCAGAATTGATTCTCTTTTTTGTTTATTTTGGTCCATTAGAACCCCCTTTAACCAGCACTTGATATTTAGCAAACTGTTTGAAAGTAATCAATTAATTCATACAGTGGTGTAGCTCCCTTGGGGGACTTTTAGGCTTCAGTGTGACAGTGACTAGGGGAGATGCACTTAGGGCAGGGAGATTCCCAGGAAACTCCTTGCCCCATGCCACTGTGGTTATCTGTTCCCTGGCGGGAAAGGCACTCTCCTTTCTGATGGTCTGAGGTCCGGACCGCAGGCTCTTGCTGTGCTCCTTCACAGAGAGGCTGCTTACCTGAATTTTCCGAACAATTCCTAGCACCAGCTCAGCAGGGACAGCGCCCGGCAGCAGTAGGAAGTGGGTGTGATGTTCTTCCTGGGTGCCCAGAGCCCTCTCCCTCTGTCCTTTTTCTTGGTGGCCCCTCTCCCACCCCATTC